TTTGAGACAATGTTTGTCTGCATAGCCTTAACTATCCTGGAACTCACTCTGTACACCAGGCTGGCCTTGAACTCACAGAGATCCACCTGCTCCTGTTTCTGGAGTGCTGGATTAAAGGCGTGCACCACCACTGCCCCATAAGTTTGAGACTCTTAATTTTTGTGAGTTACCTAAGAGAAAACAGGCAACTCTTCTTGCTGCTGGAATATTCCTCTAGGGTCAGGGGTGGGACAGGGTGGGGCAGTATACTCATGCGGTACATTCTATTCACCAGTAAGACAAAAATAAAAATGCATCATGAAGATGTTACAAGCCATACGTATCCAATAGATCAAGGCTAACAGGAAGTTAGCAAAGGGTGTTTTACTGAAGAAAGCCTTGCTTCCTTTCACTTTAGCTGGCCAAATGCCTTTAGCCTCTGCATTTGCTCTCATCTGTGAAGCCTGAAGCCAACACTCCTGGTCATGCCAAGCGCTTCTCAGAAGGTTCTGGGTGTTTGAGATTCGGCGATTCCCTATCCTTCCTGACTTGGGCTGTGGTGTGTGTAGCAGAGTACCATGTCCCTTAGGCAGCCTTTCTGAGGCAGAGCTTCCTCACAGGCCTTTGGAGTGTTTCACCAGGGAAAGAGGGAAGCAGGTTGTGGAATCAACAACCTTCCTGGAAAAACAAAAGAAAGGCCCCAGAATTTCTTGAGAAGATGCCAGCTGGAGCGCGGCGGATTTGGGAAGGCGCAATAAGTCTTCCCCAGCATCATTTTCTGGCTCCCCTGTAGAGTGTCCAAACATTGGGGGTGATTATTTAGCCGTGTTTCCCTTTGTTCCTAAGACACCCTTTCCCTAGGTGGAAGCAACCCCAACCATCTGCACTCAGTTCCTGGGAGTCAGAGGCGAGGGTTTGGCATGGCAGGCCTGCAGGTAGAGGGTGCCGAAGGAGCATCTGGGCACCCATCCCCAGGACTTGAGGCCCAGGAGAACGTCATGCGAGCCGTTACGTCAAGATGGCAGCCGATAGACGGTGAGGAGCACCGGGAGTGGAAAATGGGGGCTCCTTCCTCCTGGTGGCAGAATTGCAAGCTGGGCGCTTCGTGGCCTCGCAAATGATTTTCTTTTCCTTCCCTTTTGTGGGAGCTGAGGATGATCCCTTAACGCCAGATTTTCTCATCTTCAGTGGCAATCCGCTTCCTCCTGCCTGCTGCGAGCGAGTGGGCTGCTGACAGGATGGCCACGCACTGGACCCAGCCGGGCACAGCAGCTCCGTTTGCCGAGAGGACAACAGGAAGTGGGGGTAGGAACGACAGGGCCGCTTGGAGCTGAGCGATGTTTGGAACTTTTGGGAGATTTGGAGTGGCAAGGAGTGGATTACCTATGCTAAATGAAAAGAGAGCGGGCCAGGATGGGTTTCCGGTCCGCCCGGTTACATCCTTGGCTTGGCTTGAGTTCCAGGTGCGCCTGTCACTGGTGTATGAAACCTTCCATCTCTCGGGGCCTCCACGTTCACATCAGTGAAAGGAGGGTAGAAATAATGTTTACCTCCCAAGACGGTTGGGAGCGGCTGTGTGAAGCAGGCTTCAGAGGGTGCTGGCTGGTCCATTGTTGCGCATCCATAAGCTGTTGTGAGCTCTTCGTTTTCTGTGTTCCCTGGATTGCGTCAACGTAAGGACAGAGGGTGGTTTGATACCAAGGTCTCCATCCGGCTTTTTGCTTGTGACTCATAGCAGTGCCCACATCTACACGCTGCTTGTGCTCGGGCTGGGAATTGAATCTGAGCCGTGACCCTCTACACGGACCACCATGTGTGACGCAAACCTTCTACACTGAGTCCCAACAATCAGACAGCCTCAGAAAGCCGGTGAGAATGATGCTGGTGAGAACCGGAATCATCAGGCATTCAGTGGCCGGTTTACGTTTGCTCACTAACTGATTTGTCTGAAGATGAAGCTAGAAAATTAGAAAATCTTGACAGGAAATTCTCCCCTTAAGGCATCTGTGGCCATTTTTGCTTGTCCATTTCCGTTAAACCCAAATAGATAAAACTGATCAGAAGTAGATGGCCCAGGAAGATATTTTGGGGCAACACTCAGTTGCTATGCTAAGCACGGCTTCTGTCCAAGCACATCCACGCTGCCCATCGTATTCTGGCCACCACAGGCTGGCTTGGCCCCACCTGCAATTATACTTGGCTCTCATTAAAGCTTGGCCTGAAACTACACGGCGTTTTCCCTTCAGTTCCGAACAGAAGGTCCCTGCTTCAAGCCTGCATTGCATACTTTCACTTCACGGCATCCGATAAACATCCAACAAGGCTGCTTTGACCTGCACACCCAATCCTCTTTTACTCGAAGACCTCAGGGGTTACGGGTAACATGGCCACAGATTGTAGTTTTCTATTCTGTTGTGGATGGGTTTTTACCCCCACAGCATATTTATATCTATTTCGTTTTAGATGATATTCAGCCACATTGAATGAAAAGGCTTTTTCATTGGTTACCTGGGTTTAATTGAGGTCTGTGAAAAGTGTGCAACTGGTTTTCATACTAGGGCGTGCAACAGGTGGTGCGTTGTCTCGGTCAGTCAACTACCATTCTATTGCAAGGAGAATGACCTGATTTTTGTTTTGTTCCTCTTACGTGGGCTCGGAATGGTTTTGGACTGCTGGCAAGGTTCTCCCAGGCCTTCCGTGCTCCTCACTGAGTCCATTAGTGGCCAGACTTCTGACGTGACAGCACATGCCAGAGGGGGGAAAACCACAAGCCCTGCTTGCTCACTGCTACAGAACTCATTGCGGCCCTGGTTCAGACAATCACTCCTCTGGGCTGTTGTTTTCTTGTGGCAAAAACTACAAGCTTATTCTGAGCAAAAACACCACCAGGTGGTGGCAGCGTACGCCTTTAATCCTAGAATTCTGGATGTAGAGGCAAGCATATCTCTGAGTTCAAGGCCAGTCTGGTCTACAGATTGAGGTCCAGGAAAGCCAGGGCTACACAGAGAAATGCTGTCTCAAAAACCAGCCAACCAAACAAACAAACACAGGAACTAGCAATCTTCAAAGTTCTTTTATAGTCCTGAGACTTTCTGTCTATGTGCTGCATTATGGTGAGCCTCTTGTCACACAGGACCACCAAGCCATTCTAATGGGCCTGGCTAGCCTAAAACCAAACACACGGGAAGTATGGGCCACATTGTATTCTGAAGAGCAATTACTAGGAAAAAGAATACAAACTATTTTGGTTTGGTTAAATGAAGTATATTAATTGAGTGAGCATTACCCATTTGCATTTGTGTCCTATTCTACTAGACAATTCACGCCACATTGCATGCATGGCTTCTGTGACATCAGTACTGTGAAAACAGAAGGATCGAATCAATCCCTAAGGAATCTCAAATGTCTACGGCTCAGTGTTTCGACCTGAGATTCTTACACCACGAAAGTCAAGTTTTCGAAATTACAACTCTCCTTTGTCAAAAAATAAAAATCAATGATGCTGGCATGGTGCATGACACTAAACTCCTCTCCCGTGACTTCTGTGGGAGTCCTGTGGGCATCCTAAAGTGACAGTGCTCTGTAGCTAGCATCTGCAGGGCTGTCTTCGCTCTCCCAGCAACTAGAGCGGAGTGGGCAGAGGAGAGACCTCACCTGGGAAGAGCTTGCCACCAAGCCTGACACCCTGAGTTTGGTCCCTGGGACCCACATAGTGAAAGGAGAGAACCAACTCTGGCAAGGTCTTCTGTGACCTTCACATGTGCCCTGAGACGCTTGGGCACACCCCATGCCCCAAACAATACTTGTAAAAAATAAAACTAAAATAAAGTGTATTATTAAAAGTAACTATTCCTAGGTTGTGATACCCTACCTGAAGTCTCTTTGAAATTCTTTCTCTCTCAATCTTCCAATAATTAAGATTACAGTTAATCAGAAAATACCAGTCTTTACACCTTAACGTATTGTTATAGATTCTGTGAAAAATCACAAATATATTAGGAAGAAGTTGACTTCAATAGAAAGAACCCAAGATGATTCAATTTGCCTTTATAGTTTTCTGTAGTGAATATGTTGCTTCTACCAAGAGGAAGAAGTACACTTTATTTAAAATGACATCACCCACCCACTCTTGTGACTTTAAACTTAACTCAGTTAATTTGTATGCTCTCTGTCTTAGAACTCCTGAGGTTTTTATCTCTTACTATATTTGACTAAATAGTAGGTGTTTTAGACTTTAGCTTCAGTCTCACACAGATATTTAAATATTTCCATGACAATTACCGTCAAACAGCACAGGACTTAGTGACTATCTGTGTGGGATAGCCAGGAAACACCTAAAAATGCCCACCTGAAGGCATGCCATAAATAACAGCACACACTTATAGTCCCAGCTACTCTGGAGCTCCATCTTAGATACTTGAGGTTAGCCTAGGCAACATAATAGGATCCTGTTTCAAGCAAATAAAATCAAATAACTAAAATAAAGACGTGTCATGTACAACTGAGTCCCTAGCAATGGGAAAACGCTACTATATTGCACATAGGTCAGACCGGCTTCTGTAGACACCCACACACCCAAGAGGGGTCAAGTGCCCTCCCGTACCCGCCCATGTACAGCCAATACAACGGAGGTGGAAGCTATGTCCCTGACATTCATTTCTCTCATCCGCCCTCTGATGTCAGAAGCCCTCATGGCCAGAAAACAAGAGATCAGTGAATGTTATTGTCCAGCTCTTTGCTTCGGTTTTGTTCAGCTAAGACCCCAGCCCCTGGAGCGATGCCACCCATAGCTAAAGAGGGTCTTCCTGCATCAATGAGATTAATGTAGACAGGCTTTCACAGGCGTGCCCAGACTCTCATCTAATGCAGACATTCTTTCACAGGCTTGCCTATGGGCTTGTCTTCTAGGTAATTCCAAGTTCTATCAAGTTGATGATATCAACCGTCACACAATGACACCTCACTTGCTCTCCAATCCCTATGAGACAATAACTCCGTTGGTGGTGATCCTCTGTACTTACTGTTACTTGTAAAGATGGCTTCTCCCTCCTGGGGCATAGGGTCTGGGTCCTGGACCACCTGCAGGGCTCCCACTGTCCTTACAGCAGGGTCCAAAGTGACTGAACTTTCATTTACTGTTGTGTCGCTGGCGCCAGTGATCTGATTGGTTGGTGGGCCTCCTAGAGAGCCTTCAAAATCAATGGGCAAGTCGTCCATGCAGTCAGCATTGGGCTGAGGGGACAAAATAGATCCGTCTTAGGGCACATCCTTGGTTTAGAGATGCAATGTCTGCAGCCTACATATTTTGTCTGAATGTAAAATTAAGCTCATTGCTTCACTCTTTTTTAAAATGCCTTATTAAAAAACGTTTATATATAGTTTCATATACATATACATACATATACATATAGTTTTATTGTCATGAGAAGATCATCCCACATTTCCTTTCTAAAGGTTCCTTTTAGATATGAATATAAAGATTTAATTTCATGTGTACCAAAATCTCTACACTTAGATACTAGGATGAATACACGATCTTTGTTTATTATGATAAAACTGGGACTTCCTTTTATATAAAGAGTTTATTCCCCCACACAGGATGGAGCCAGAAGCCTGCTAATTATCGTCAGTCTCATGCATTGTTTATAAACAAGATATGGAAGTGAGAGGGAGCAGAGACTTACTTACTGGGAATTATACAGGGAGGATACATGCATGTACATGCACACACACATATACACTTACACACACACTCACACACACACACAGGGTGAGGCTACTTTTAAAGAATATAAACCAAAAGTCAGCTATAGAAAAATAATTCTATGTTCTTAACATGGGATTAGTCACATATTAGACAAATCCATTACTCCCCTTCTCTTCCAGAATGTGAAATGGGGATCTGTCTCTTTTCTTATTGGAAACTTCCGTCTCCGGTATGCAGCCTTGGCTGCCTGAACTTGCTATGAAGTTTTCTCTCTGTGTGTTTGATCTGTATGTTGGCTCGTTTGTTATGAAGCATGATGATTCCATGACTTCCTGCTCACAGAGTATGCCGAGCATGAGAGTCAAGGCCAAGGAAAGGGAATTCCAGGGTTGTATTCAATGAGTACCACATTGATGCTTACAGTCATTGACATCAGAGCCCTGTAAATCAAGGGTGGGTGGAGAGCCCCGAAGAGGAGATCTGCAGAGCTGTGTGTGGGTCTCTTGAGTCCACGCTCACACTTGGCAATAGTCGGGTGAGAGCTGCCACCATCCTCCAGGTCCTCAAAGCAGCTCATACCTTTTCCCTGTGCTCTCGTCCCTTTGCTTTTGCCTTCTTTGTCCAAAGTGAGCCAGTTCCCCAACACTCACTTGCCAGAAGACAGTTTATAGCACGACCAATTCACTGTTGACTAACTTGTTGATTTTGACTTTGAATGGGAACAGTTATCATTATCAACATTTTCTCCTCACTAACAGTCTCTCTGTCTCATCTGGTCTCTCCTCTGCTTTGTGCCCTCTCACCAACAAGCACAGCATCTATAACAACAGCACCTACAACCCACAGCATCTACAGTAGCAACACCTACAACCACAGCACCTATAGTAATAACACCTACAACCACAGCATCTATAATAAAAATACCAATAACCACAACATGTACAGTAACAATTTCAATAACCACACCAACCACAATGTGAACAATCACATCATCAAAAAGAAACGCATCACCAAAACCCACAACACCAACCACAACATCAACAATGACAATAAGTGTCAACAACATCTCCAGCAACACCTCCAGCAACAGCCACATCTGTCATCACCATCACCAGCACTACAGCAAAACAACTCCAGCAGAGGTATGGGTCTTCTCTCTGTTTAAGGAACAGGGTGTAGAATTCAGCATGACCAGCTTGTTATTCTGTCCTCACCATCAGCCTTTGGAAACAGATCACACATGTTCCCTAAGCTCAGTGGTTCTTCTTATACTGTCCCTCTGTTTAGGATGACATATGCTACCTCCCTGCCTTTCAAACTGATCCCTGATGGTTGCTAATCTCCATTTAACTCCCAACACTGTTACCATTTCTAAGTAGGACTTCTCCCAAGCAGTGGCCTTTGGCCCTAGAGTGCCTCGTGTGGCACTTGGGTTTGGTGGTCAATTGTCAATGTCTTGTTCTCTTGCCACTGTTGACAAGAGTCAAAATGAAGAGTGTCTACATCATTTTGGTTTTGATATCCAGGCTTCCACATATGCCACAATGATTGAATGCTCAGTAAATATTGATTTGAATATTTTCCCTGAGTCTCAGATTTCTGCTCTCAAACTTGGGCATGTTAGGTTCTTGCCAAGATCAATGACAGAAGGATTTTTAGAAAATATTTTAAGGACTGTAAAGTTCTGTGCAAAGCTGAGATATGCTTGGTAAAGGTATTTATTAAACAGAATACTTAAGGGCAGGGTGTTCAGTGGAAGAGACTTCATGAGAGACAGACAGCACCAGTCACTGTCACAAACATAAACAGCCAAATGCATGCATGTTCAGTCTTTGAAACTGTGTCTCTGTTGACATTGATGGTTCTATTTCCCATGTCCTGGCTTTGGTACAGTTCACTTTAACAAAGTTCTTACTTTATGGGCCAGGAGAAGCTTTGCTCTCTCCTTCACGGAGAAGTGGGAGGAGAGATAGTGAGATATCAATGGCGAGAGGTACAACAACTTCAGCTTGGATGTGTCAGGAAACGGATCAACCTTCCAGAAACTCCCAATTTATAGTCAGTCTACATGGATACTCAGGAAAAGTTCTGCCTCTTGAAAAAAGTCAAAGGCTTACTGTTTAAAGACTATATCCAAGGCTATCTGCTAACCAACTTTGTCGAGGTACTGAAATTCAGGTAGCATGAGAAAAGTCCCCAGATAAATCAATGACCAATAATTAGAAGCTGTGACTTCACTAGCTTCACAATGGTGGCTGGCATCCTGTTCACATCTGGAGAACAATGATGGTGGGGAGTGTTTACTGTCCTCAACAGCTGGGTCCTGTGAGAGCTGGGAGGAGGACTCACAGAAAGTATTTTTCTGTAGGAGACACCTGCATCAGATAGGTATATGGGGGATAAGGCAATGCAATGGAGGCCAAGGATAGAAGCTTCTGGAAATAGCGAACCCTTCCACTGTGTTTCACTGTATGAGCATATGAAGTTCTGAGAAATAAAGAAAAAAAAGACACCTTCCTTCTCCCTTTAAGATTTCTTTTGTCAAATGTTATAGAAAAATGTGCATTGCGATGAGGATTTTATCAATTGTGAGGTATATACTCTTGTTGTTTAGGCCATTGTGGGGAAGTACAAAATACAAAATGTTGTCCCCAGCTTTTGGATTTTGACTTTGTTTATTTGTCCATTACCACAGGTAGTACATATGCACTGAGCTAAAAGTAACAGAAATATAAACAACTATAGTACACCTAAACAGTCTGCATTTGAATAGTCAAATGAGCCAAAAGAACAACAATGTCATTTGTGGAATTGACATTCTTGCAAGGAGAGGTGGGGTGTAATTCATAAGAGTGAGTTTTGAGATCAATCACATTTGAGGCTCTGAAGGGCTTCAAGTTCTACAAGAGCACTCAGAGTAGTTGGGGAATCCAGAGGTGAAGGACCAACAGGTATCAGAGTGCAGAAATGGGCTCTTCCCCAACCGTCCTAAAATAACAGGCCCTTAGTCCAGAGTGGGTGTGCACACCTGGAATTCCAGAGATTCTTGGGAGCCAGAGGCAGGAGAATCACAAGCTTGAGACGAGCCTGTGTTGCCTGCCTAGGGAGATGCTGTAGCAAAGTCAACTAAATTACACTAAACTTGAATTTAGAGTATAGGGAAAAATTGAGATAATTTCTTTAAACTGCCTTTCAAAAGCGTCACTACAAAGCAATGTTTCGTAATTAACACAGCTGTGTGCTGATCCAAACACATGCAAAGTTTAAGGAAGAAACAGATGATTGCGCTGATGCATTTTGGCCACAACGCTGTCTGATAACAGCGTGACGGGATGGAACCAAACCCTAAGTTCCTCCCACATCCTGAATCTGTCTTCACCAGGACAAAAGAGCCCTGGGAGGCAGAAACATGGCCATGTGCCTTGATGCTTCCCAAGCAGGCACATGATGCATGTGCCTCCTTCTTCACGGGGACGCTCTGTTCTGTGGGGTGAGTGTGGATGTGTCATGTTCTTCAGCTGGCGCTTCAAAGTCCTTGGCAAGGCCCAAAGATGCTACTGATGTTTATTTTTCTGGGAGCTGAGTGTGCTAAGTCAAGTCTCACACAGACTTGTCAGGCATTGGAGTTTCAGCCAGAGTGTCCAACTGCTAAAAGTTAAAACGTTATTTAGTTTGGAAGTAAGCCAAAAGGCCACTCAGTATTTCTATTTTAGAAACAATTAACATCAATATTTGGAATTCAGTTAGAAGCAGCTTCTGGAGAAATTGTGCTTCCATGGGAAAGAGATCTGGTATCGAGTAGTCAGCTCAAAATTTAAGCACAGAGCCAGGGTTTCTTGTCCCGACCAAAAGGAGGTCTGTGAGGAAGACTGGGAAACTACCTTGAGGCACATGGAGTATGTGAAATGATGCACACACATATTTACATACATGTAGTGTACAATACACTTATGTGAGTGTGTGTGAGAGCACATACATGCAAGCTCACATTGCACGCATGAAAGAACATACATGCACTCATGTCAGCACACGCTCATACACATGCAATTCCACTCATGCATAGACAAAAGTACTTACACACGCACAGTCATGTGAGCACATGCATGCATGCAAGTGAGACAGAGTCCCTCGTAGGCAGACAGATAGGGAGAGGGACCATGATTGGTAATAAACTGTGAATCTGCAAGATGGCCAGCTAAAGCTTTTTCCTCCTATGTTTTCCTCATGTCTCCCTGAGTACGTCTTGGATTTGGTGGCCTGGCGTGTTTCTTCTCCAATTAGTTGTGGATAAATCAACCATCCTAGCTGTCTTCAAACTCTTCAGAGGCTCCCAAATCACCAGGCCCCAAGAAGATAGTGGAGTTTTGGCTTTTCCAGTCCCTGCTCTGTGGTGTGGAGGGGATTTTCTCTGTGTGTCTGCTGTGTTTGTGTGTTTCTTCACTCCCAATAAATGACTCCAACAGCTGATTCTGTCTGCCCAGCTTGAGGTTTCTCAGCCACCACCTGCTTTACCCCAGATGCTTCCTGCTTTTTGGTTCTTTAACTGGCAGAGCAAGCAAACCCAATCAAGACCCACGATGAGCATGTTCAATAACAGACATGCGCATGCACACATCCAGCTGCACACACATACACATGCAAATGCATCTGTGCATCCATGCAAGCCCAGGCACTTGCAAGCAGACATGCGCACAGTCTCCTTCAGTTACAGCCAGACACGTGAAAGGCAGTCACCGGTCCCATGAGGATGTCCTCCTATGTTCCACACACACTGTGAATGGTTTGAGCCTTGAAAGCTACGTGCGTGACAACTCTGGTTGAAAATTTGGCATGCCATGTCTGCAATCTAGCTCAAAGCTCCCAGTCTCTTGAGTGGGTTTGTGTTTGGTGGATCAGCTGCCTTTGAGGCAGCTGGCACAGGGCAGCCAAGCCAGCCAAGGCAGGATCTCAGGGCACTCCTGGGCACACTGTCCTAATTAGCCCTTCGGCATGCAAGACACTTTGATACGTGATCTGGCCCTCATTCTCTAGTGATATCCTGGGACCATTAGCATCCTCTTTACTGTCTATCACAACAGCTAGGAGCGGCAATAGGCAGGTGGCAGCAAGGGGGCGGGGCAGGGTTGAGCTGGTTTCTGTGTTTGGTTTGGAGGCTCCTTTTAGACTCTGCCTTTGATTTCCTCACATCTCCCCATGGGCTTCTTGTGTTTGCTGGTCTGGCTTCTTTCCTGTTCTCATCAGCCCAGAGAGGACGGCACCCAGCAGCTGGAGTCTCATTAAGAGCTGCTTGTGGTGCTCACTTGGTGCAACCCTGGGATGGGCTTTCCCTGGAGCATCAAGCCAGCTGGCAGGATTCTGACCCTAGGGAGTGTCACTAAACGTCAGAGGACACATGACTTGGAGGAGCGGCTGATGGCAGGGTTGGATTCAAGTGGCTCTGACTCTGACTGCCTCTTTGCTCAAAGTCTGCAGAGATGTGAATTTAGCAGACACTTTGAGGGGTACCCTTGGTCTTGGACCTCTCCTCCCATGGGTGGGAGGGACTACTCCCCATGAATGCTTAATGATCAGGAGGCAGCAAAGCATTCCCCCACACACATGGTGGTGTGTGGATCTTCCTGAGGACAATGCAGGCATGGTAACCAGAGAGGTCATTGGTGTTCAGCTGACCCATTGAATGTCTTCTGCGTCTCACGTGTCCTTGAAGAGATGCCTATGAGCTATGCAAGCAGCATCTTCCCTGACTCACGGACAAACGGTGGACACGGTGTGATCAGACAGAGCGAAGGTGACAGGAGGGATGTTCGAACACAGAGGTCATCGGGTGATGCCAACAAGGGGAGGTGGCGAACCCAAGGAGGGCGCTCCCTTCCTGCTTTGGCGGCGATGGGAAAAGACAGACATGGCAAGGCTGTAGGCTGCGCCGTGCTTACCGGGATCCCTAGGGCTTTAAGAATGTTCATCTTGCACATGGGGCAGGTGCGATGGTCTAGAAGCCAGGGGTCAACACAGGACTTGTGGAAAAGATGCCTGGAATGAGAACCGTATACCTTAGAGCAGAGGTAACCGAGGCATGCCCTAGACCACTACAGCCCACTGATCAGTCCCAGCTCCCTCAGCTGACGAGGGCCAGAGCTAGGACTCCTGGACCAAAGCATTTCTTTGTACTAACCGACCTCAGATTTCCCCTGATCAACAGAGTGCCCCATATGGTTTGCAATGGACTCCTCCAAGTTGTTGTTGTTGTTGTGAAGGCTGTAGAAACACAGAGTTCCCCTCCCTTGGAGGCAAGAATGCAAGAGGGGACACTTCTCCTGCAGGATGACTTGGCGAAGGCTTGTGCTCCCTTCCCCATAATCAGAAGACAACAGCAAAGTAAAGGCTGACTTCTATTCGTACTTGTGTGTCTAAGACAAGGTTACAAGAGTTCCTGGAAACAGGAACACAAAGGACCCATGTTAGCTGTCCTGGTGGCCTGGCGGCTGTCATGTAAGAGGATGGCATGAAAGAGCACATGATTGTCAATCCCAAATGCCAGTTGCTATAAAATCTGGTCAGTCCGGCAGGGGAAGGACGTATGGTTACAGTATCCTATCTGAATTTTCCAGCATGGCTCAGGAGCTGGCTGGAGACTCCACGGGTGGTTTGCATCAAAAGATTTCTCACTCCCCATGGGTAGAGGTTTAGAACTTTCCACCTGGGTCAAGAAGAGCCAGAACTTTCTGTTTTGAGTGGGGAGGCTCACTTAGAACATTCCATCGCTGTTGGGCTTCATAAACAAGTACCGTAGCTAACTAGAGAGAGAGGTTCAGGAAGCAATCAGCCTGTGAACTGTGAAGAGAAATGCAGGCAAACTCAAATTTTGAGGATGACTGAGTGGTCTTTGGGACAGGACCAGAGCTGAGAGTGCTCAGTTGATGATGTTTTTGCTGTGCAAGCTTGAGGACCCAAGGTTGATCCCCAGCCCACCACACCATTGGTGGTAGCTGTGCTTGTCATCTCTGGAAACACTGGTGGAAGAGGCAGTGTTTTTAGGCCAGCCAGCTTAGCCTAAAGAGTAGAAAGTTCCAGGTCTTAGTGAGAAACTTTGTCTCAAAAAATAAGGCAGATAGCTCCTGAGGCACACTACTGCTGGCTGACCTTAGGCATCCACAAGTACTCACACACACGAACGTGCAGGCTTCATGGTGGGAGCAGATTAGAAAGGGAAGAGCAGTCCTGGGCTGCATGGGTCTATTTCTAGCCTACCACTGCTCAGGACACCCCGCATATGCATTTGCTTGGGAACACACTCAAACGTTCATCCTTTCAATGAGGACGTAGGCCAACCATTGATGGAGTTCAACACTTAGAACTAGCACTAAGAATATTGATGACCTGATTCCTTTTCTAAGACAGAAACTTATAAAATAAACACCAAAACCGGAGACAAATGTAAGTAAATTGCTTGTTGAAAAATACCTGATGAACGCGTAGAGTTTGGGGAGGGGCTCTGACTGGAAGATTGATCAGGGCTTAGGTGCATGGAAAGGGTCTCACTGAGGAAATGACAGAGCTGGGAGCTGAGTTGTGGTCACCCCACACGAAGGGGAAGAGAAGAATGTTCTTGGAAGAATGAGGAGTCCAATCAAAATAACCCCTGGAGCACCCTGTGCTGGAAGATGGCCAGACTCACTACACACCCGGAAGAAGGCAGATCGCCATTGCTACCACTGTTAGAAGAGGCCATCTGATACTCAAGGTGTATGAAGCTGCTCCTTGTGCCCCCCAAAGCAATGATCTCCCCAGGTTCAGGATCCACATTAAGGGCTTAAGGCTCTTGCCTAACCTTGTTTATATAAATTATTTATTTTTAAATTTAAATTTAAATTAGAAACAAGGTTGCTTCACAAGTCAGTTCCAGGTCCCTCTCCGTTTCCCTCCTCTCCTCCCATGCCCTCCCCTCAATCCCCCCAATATTCCCTCATTTCCCCAGGGAGGGTGAGGCCCTCCATGGGGGTGCTTGTAGCCTGTCATTTCATCCAGGACAGGGCCTAGACCCTCCTCCAAGAGTCCAGGCTGAGAGTGCATCTCTCATTGTTGCATGGGAGTCCAAAGTCCATGTGTATACCCGGGATAAATACTGATCTACTGCCCAAGGCTCAATAGATTACCTAGGCCTCCTCACTGACACCCACATTCAGGGGTCTTGATCAATCCCTTGCCTAACCTTGTTAACCCATCTCATGTCACTCCTGGGAGAAGCCACCCATTTTGGTCTCTTTGACTATGCTTGTGTGGCAGATCTGTCCCTTTTTTTCTGTTACATATGTTTTCTGCACATATGTGGGAGACGTGATAGCAGCAGGGCTAACTGTTAGTGCTTCTTAACACTTAGACAAGTTGCTTAATGTCCTCAACCACCTGTGAAATGGGGATCTGTCTGCTCAAGCATGGAAGGCTAGAGGCAAGTCTCCAAGGAGCCAGCAGCTACTCCTCACACTCACAGGGCTGTCACCCCGTGTGTCTCCTCGGCAGTGCTATGCTGCCTGGTGGTCAATCAGCGCTGATCAGGAGTTGCTGTGAAGATGTGGGTAGATACTCTTCTGGTCTAGGTGGATCTCACCCAAGCACTTAGCGAGTCTCAGCAAAGCTGGTTTCCTGGAGAAATTACCCTGCCTTGGAACTGGAAGCATTGACTCCAGCCCAAAAGCGTGCAGCCCAAGGCCCACGTTGCAGACCCACCTCAGACCCACTAGCTCTACATTCAAGCAATCCAAATCCTCAAAACCTGTCCCTCTATGTCTTCTCTCCTTGAGTGTTCCCCTGCCCCAGTTTCTCTTCCCGTCATCAAGCTCTGCAGATTCCCATTGATTCTGTTCCTCTGCAGACCCCTCAACCAGCTCATCTTTCAATGAGCATACTAGCTCAATGAGAGCAGAGTCCTTGTTTGCTTCATCAATGCATGCTCAGTATTTATGACAGTCTGTGGCATAGATGATGATCAGGAAGCATTTGCTGTGTGAGTGTGTGCTTATTCATCAAGGACCCAGCACTTCTCCTCGCCTGCGTGTAACTGTCAACTCCTGTTCACTTGCTCCTCCTAGTCTGCTCTGTCCCTTTGCTCTCTCTCCCTCCCTCCCCTCCCCCTCCCTCTCTCCCTTGCTCCCTCCCTTCCTTTTTAAAATGTGGCTCCCCGTTGACCATCTCATGATTTTTTTCACTCCTTACTGCAATAGCATCTACAACACTCTCCCAGCTGCCAGGCCTTTTCTGTTCTCTGCATCCTACTCACGGGTGCCAGATTTGCCTTCTGAAAATAGAGCGCTCATTACGTCACTCCCTCTTCCCATTCTGTTCTGGAGAGATCTCTCCCTTCCTGGGAAGTACCACAGTTCGCTTGCAGTTCCATCTTATAAACAGAGGGGGAGCCATGGTTAAGTCCATACTCCTAGACTGGGGCTTTTCCGTCTTTTCACAGGTGGGGAAGTTGTCTCAGCTCTCCAAGATCAGTTACAATTGGTAACATTTTATCTTATTGGAATGTAGTTTGTAAGTAAATTAGTTTCTCTACCTCCTTTCTCTATGGGTGTAGTGTGTGTGTGTGTGTGTGTGTGTGTAAGACAGAGAGAGACAGAGAGGCAGAGAGAGACAGAGAGAAAAAAGAGAGAGAATACTTTATGTTGTCACAGCACACATCTGTAAGCTCAGCAATCAGGAAGTCAAGGCAGAAGAATCTTGAGTTCAAAGACAGCCCTGGCTACATATAAAAATTTTAAGATAAAACTCCATGAACATAAAAAAGCTAACTCCAACCAGCCAGCCAGCCAGCCAGCCAGCCAGCCAGCCAGCCAGCCAGCCAGCCAGCCAGCCAAGCACAACAAAACCTGAGTGTTAGTACTCCTTAACTGTAAGCCACTAATAATCGCATTAATATCACTTCACTCTGCCCCCAGTGTGGTTGCAGCACGGCTAGTCTGCCCCCGCTCCCTGCTCCTGCTGCCACATCTCCCCCACCATTGGGGATTATGCCATCCCAGAACTGTAAGGCGGTGGGGATATTTAATCACAGCAACAGGAAAGTAACAGCGACAATGAAGACGCAGAAGCACGCAGCGCTGCTGAGATGTGACAAGTAAGTCCTCAGGGTTCTCAGCAGTCACGGTAAACCAGATCTCACTCACTCTCATACCCGGCGCTTTCCATTGCTCCCCTCTCTGCGTATGATTTCCAGCCCAGGTATATGCCTCTTTTCTCCCCTAGGGAAGAAGGGCCGTCCTCTTTTTCCCTCCTCATAGGCCTTTGTAAAGCAGACTCATTGCCACCAGCACTCTGCAGTCAGGACTAAGATTCTGTGGTTTTGGAGGTTGGAGAGAGGGCTCTGCAGGTAAGGGCACTGGCCGCGCTTCTGTGGGACCCAGGCTCTAGTCTCAGCACCCACTGGGTGACATGCAGTCTTCTGTAACTCAAGGTCTAGGGGTTCAGTGTCTTATTCTGGCCTCTGTAGTGAATAGACATATATGTAGGCCAAACACCCGGGCACATAAAACTAAAATACATTTTTTTTTTTGGTTTTTACGAGGCAGGGTTTCTCTGTGTTGTTTCGGAGGCTGTTGGTCCAGCCCGGCCTCGAACTCACAGAGATCCGCCTGCCTCTGCCTCCCGAGTGCTGGGATTAAAGGCGTGCGCCACCACCGCCCGGCCTGTGCGCCACCACCGCCCGGCCTAAAATACATTTAAAAAAGAAAGACGTTTGTGCTTTGGGCACCCGTGCAGGCTCCTTCACCTTCTTTCGTGACAGGCATATTGAAAACTGTGAGTGCCTTATAACCTCATTTTCTGGGGCAGCATCAGCTACTTTACAATGATAGCCGGTGTGTCTATAGGTAGCTGAAATGTCTCTTTGGAACATCTGAATCGTATTTTCAAAGCTTCCAGTGAAATGAGAATGAAATTTAAATGAATTTGTGCCACCGATGATGTCTTCCACTTACTGTATTCTAAGCGTGTCACACATGTAATTGATTCGCTACCATTCTGTGAGGTAAAAA